ATAATTTTTCTGCATTTTACAGGGTTTTTTTTTCATTTTTATTGACTTAGTCATTTTGGGTTTATTTCTAAGGTTTGAGACATAGAATCTAGAACATCTGTACAAAAATGTGAACTACAGCTTAAAACTATTCCTTAAACCAAAAAAAATCACCAAGTATTAAAAACAATTTTTACATTACACATCAGATAGTGTAAATCCGTTTGTCCCTTGGGAGTAATGAGTGGACATCATCCAGTTAAAGATAAATTAATGAGTTCAGTGTGGGAAGCTGTTAGAGCATCTCTGATCAAGCAGGTGTTATCTATATCTCCTGGGAATTTAAAGATCTCTGTTCTTTAATTCTCGTAATTGTAATTTATTGTCTGTCATAGTACATAGTTACTGGATGACCAGCCTTGTATTTTTAAAATGAATTTGATATAAAGTTATCAAGATTAATTTGATTTTGTAATTAATTGATTTTTTTTTCAACAAATAATTTGCAGAGTGTCATGTCTCAAAAAGATGACAGATAGTTGCAATTTATTTTTTCAATGTATATATTAAAAAAAACAATGTAATTACAGTGTATTGGTATTGATGTTTTATTAGGTTGTTCCTTGTTTTCATTCATTAAAAAAAATATAATGAGCAATTATTTTTTCACTCTAAATGTTTGTAAGAAAATTGCATGTGAACACCTCTTAGATCCATAAAATATTAGTGATTTGGCACCTCTGAAAAACCCAGCGGGGGGTATTTGTCCCTTTTGGACAGTTCTAGTTCAAGTTGAGATTCATTTGGAATGAATTGAATTGAACTGTTTTTGTTATGTTCAGCAAATAAATTAACAAATACATGTATACCCCCTACATGTACAGCTAATTAAAACTTGTGAAATATCATTTTTATGTCCCTGTAATCAAAGATTCTGGGATATATAATCTTTGCCCTGTCTGTCTGTCTGTTTGTCTGCAAAAACTTTAACCTTGCCCATAACTTTTGATTGGTTGGAGATATGGCCTTCATATTACACATGTATATTCCTTGTGACAAGCCCTTCCTTTGGGTACCAACATAATTGACCTCTTGACCTTGGAATTTGACCCACTTGCAAAAATTTACCCAACTTTAACCTTGGTTATAACTAGGGATGGCAACGAATATTCGAACATTCGAATATTCATTCGATGAGTTGATATTCGAATATGAATTCAAGATTCGAATATTCGATGTTTTTCAGATTTCATAAAAAGAATTACTGTGATTAATAAATTTTGATTAGAACAATGCTGGAATTTTCCCTGTTTTATTTACTAGCGATCAATTTTTCTCACTACTTTCTTATCTTACAAATCTACTGAATTACATGTATTTTGTTTTGAGTAAGGTGTTAAGGAATTGTACAAAAATGCTTTATGTATAATACAAAACGTACTTTCATAGTTTTTAGCTCACCTGAGCTGAAAGCTCAAGTGAGCTTTTCTGATCACATTTTGTCTGTAGTCCGTCTGTCCGTCTGTCCGTCTGTCTGTAAACTTTTCACATTTTCGACTTCTTCTCCAGAACCACTGGGCCAATTTCAACCAAACTTGCCACAAAGCATCCTTAGGTGAAGGGGATTCAAGTTTGTTCAAATGAAGGGCCACGCCTTCTTTCAAGGGGAGATAATTAAGAATTAGTGAAAAATGAATAGCATCTTTATAAATTCTTCTTCTCCAGAACCACAGGGCCAGGAAAGATGAAACTCATATGGAAGCATCCCCAGGTAGTGTAGATTCAAGTTTGTTCAAATCATGACCCCCGGGGGTAGGGTGGGGCCACAATGGAGGATCAAAGTTTTACATAGAAATATATAGGAAAAATCTTTCAAAATCTTCTTCTCAAGAACAGTAAAGCCATGAAGAGTCATATTTATATGGAAGCATCCCCAGGTAGTGTAGATTCAAGTTTGTTCAAATCATGACCCCCGGGGGTAGGGCGGGGCCACAATGGAAGATCAAAGTTTTACATAGAAATATATAGGAAAAATCTTTAAAAATCTTCTTTTCAAGAACAGTAAAGCCATGAAGAGTCATATTTATATTGAAGCATCCCCAGGTAGTGTAGATTCAAGTTTGTTCAAATCATGACCCCCGGGGTAGGGCGGGGCTACAATGGAGGATCAAAGTTTTACATAGAAATATATAGGAAAAATCTTTAAAAATCTTCTTCTCAAGAACAGTAAAGCCATGAAGAGCCATATTTATATGGAAGCATCCTCAGGAAGTGTAGATTCAAGTTTTTTCAAATCATGACCCCCGGGGGTAGGGCGGGGCCACAATGGAGGATCAAAGTTTTACATAGAAATATATAGGAAAAATCTTTAAAAATCTTCTTCTCAAGAACAGTAAAGCCGTGAAGAGTCATATTTATATGGAAGCATCCTCAGGTAGTGTAGATTCAAGTTTGTTCAAATGATGACCCCTGGGGGTAGGGCGGGGCCACAATGGAGGATCCAAATTTTACATAGAAATATATAGGAAAAATCTTTAAAAATCTTCTTCTCAAGAACAGTAAAGCCATGAAGAGTCATATTTATACGGAAGCATCCTCAGGTAGTGTAGATTTAAGTTTGTTCAAATGATGACCCCTGGGGGTAGGGCGGGGCCACAATGGAGGATCCAAATTTTACTTAGAAATATATAGGAAAAATCTTTAAAAATCTTCTTTTCAAGAACAGTAAAACCATGAAGAGTCATATTTATATGGAAGCATCCTCAGGAAGTGTAGATTCAATTTTGTTCAAATCATGGCTCCCGGGGGTAGGGCGGGGCCACAATGAAGGATCAAAGTTTTTCATAGAAATATATAGAAAAAATCTTCTTCTCAAGAACAGCAAAGCCATGATGAGTCAAATTTATATGGAAGCATCCTCAGGTAGTGTAGATTCAATTTTGTTCAAATGATGACCCCCGGGGGTAGAGTGGGGCCCAATGGGGGATCGAAAGTTTTACATAAGAACATATAGAAAAAAAAAATCTTCTCAAGAACAGAAAAGCTGTGTTAGTCTTATTGATATTGAAGCATCCTCGGGTAATGTAGATTCAAGTTTGTTCAAATGATGACCCCTGAGATGGGGAGGAGCTACAATGGGGGATCAAATTTTTACAAAGGAATAAATGGGAAAATTCTTTTAAAATCTTCTCAAGTACAACAAATTCATTTGTTATATTGACATGAAAGCATCATCAGGTAGTTTAAAATTCAAGCCCCCCCCCCCCCCCTCCCCGTTCATTACTGAACTGATTTGTGCCTTAGTCTAGCCAGTGTGCTCAGGTGAGCGATGTGGCCCATGGGCCTCTTGTTATTAGTTAGATACGATCAGATCTAGAATCGAGGACAAAAATGAAATCTATAAATGTGTAAAAGGCGTAAAGGGCATACTTATCAAAATAAAATTAATTGATCATTGAATGAATGTCCGATAGAATAAATCTGTAATTAATATTGTAAAGGGCTTAATTTCAGAATAAGTGTGTAAATTACTTAATTATCTCGGGTTGTACATAATCCTGAATTTTATATTCATTATCGGGAAATTAGTTAATTACTAGGAAAATTGTCCATGGAAGTATTTGTTTACATTGTATCAAAGATTATAATCATATCTCTTATCAGGCAGATAATTGTAATTCATTACACGTATTGAAATCTGAACAGTATACCGTTACGACTATCTTGCATTTTGTAAGATGACTGGTTCCTCAGTTGGAGCTACTATAAATGCACTTTTCATTTGTTAAAATTATACTTTTCTACATTTAAATCAATTATTTATTTCCAACATTGACAAATATCAAATGGAATTTATTATTGTTGTACACCTACAAAAGTCTTCATACAATTTTACTTCCAATATAAGTATAGACATGAGAGTAGGATGATGCATATTTAAAATAAAACAGATTTATTTATCTTATCGAATATTCGAATATATTCGAATATTTTCATTGAATATTCGAATATGAATTATTGACAAAATTGACATCCCTAGTTATAACTTTTGAAAAGTTGGTGCTAGGGCCTTCATATTTCATATGCATAGATTCATTGTGACAAGTCCTTTCCAATGGTACAAATGTACAAATATATTGACCTTTAGACCTTGACCTTAGATTTTGACCCACTTTAAAAAAAACTTTAACCTTGGCCATGACTTCTGAACAGCTAGAACTAGGGCCTTTATATTTCACAGGTATATTTCTTGTGACATAAACTTCTTCTGGATACCAGCAATTTTGACTTTTGATGTTGACCTTGGAATTTGACCTACTTTTAAAAAACTTTAACCTTGACCATAACTTTTGAACAGTTGGTGCTAGGGCTTTTATATTTTGTATGTGTATTTCTTATGACAAGATCTTCTTCGTTGTACAATTAATTTTGACCCTTTGACTTTGATCTTGGGGTTTGAACCACTTTTAGAAAACATTTATCTTGACCATGACTTTTGAATGGTTGGTGCTTGGGCTTTCATATATACCAGATTTATCCATTGACACGAGTCCTTTCTTTGAGTAGCAACATTTTTGATCTCTTGACCTTGACCTTAGAGTTTGACTTTCATTTGAGAAACTTTAACCTTTGCCATAAGCTGCCATATGAGGGCATCAGTGTTTCACAAACACATCTTGTTCAACTTTTTATTCATTTTTTTCAAAGATCCAGTGACACTGTCATTGGTGTGTCTGTCAATAACTTTTGGACTTTTTGACATGGAAACTATATTTGGGTAGGTTAAGTTCAAGGTCATTTTTTTTTATCAGGCAATAGGGTAATAGGAATATGAATTTGTCTTGGTTAATATGGCAATCCATATAATCACATATCTTTGCCTCTGTTGTTTAGATTCTTTGACTTAATCTCTATCAGTGTAATGACTTTACGGAAACAGACACCTATAACAATAGAGGTGAGGAAACCAGTGAAAGGATTTTTCAGGTTGTTCAATTATTAAGAAGTGATACCCTTTTCAGGTTGTGGATGCCTTGTCGTACTTGCACAGTAGGTCCATTATATATCGTGACCTAAAGGCAGACAATGTGTTGGTCTGGAAGATGAATGGTTTTGACTTCTCTGAGGACAGCCTTGACCCCATCCATATCAGGCTTGCTGACTATGGAGTCAGTCGAACTGTTCAGTCATCTGGAACAAAGGGCTTTGGAGGAACACCACCATTTATTGCTCCTGAGATTCTCCAGTTTGCAGGAAAAGCCCAGTACACAGAGAAGGTGGGTCAATGAATCTTAGTGAAATTATGAACTGGCTACATTTTCCAATTATATTTGAGTGATTTTCTAGTTTTATCCCTTTGTTCTTACACCAATTTAATACTGTCTAGGTTATTTTGACCTACATAGTGACCTTAAATCTTAATTGCCAAAATTAGAACCTACTTATTTTTTATCGACTTAGGTCAGTTGCGGCCGTCATTGCTAATGATAAGGAAATTCTATTAATACTTATATCAGTGTGATACTTAGATTTGTTGGAATAGTAAATGCTGATTTTTATGATGTAATTCTCAATTTCCTCATCATTTCTTGACTGTAATTCTCCTACTTAACAATTAATTCACACAAGTTGAATACTAGGAAGTGTGTGAATGAAGACAATTTTAGTGTTAATATAGAAAATGTTTGATTGTACCAGGTTGAAGGTTGATATAGAAAGTAGATAAATAGACCTTGTGTTGTGAACTTTCTTGGGTGGTAAAATTGTTTTTTGGTCACCTGAATGACTCACCCAAGTATATTGACTTTAATTTACATCTTACTTCAGTGTCATTTGTCATGCAGTCATTGCATGTCTTCTGTTAATGTTTTTTGACTTCTTCTGAAGCAGGCTGCTGACAAATAGATTTTTAAGGTAGCCCTAAGGCAAGGACAGCACCAGATTCACTCGCCCCAATCAAATTTTTGCCTGAGCTTCCTCAATTTCATAAACAAAATAAAAATGAATTCATGCTAAATTGTTTTAAAATTATTATTCTCAGTTGACATCTGTGTTTTAAACATATTTATCCACCAAAAAATTACCTTCAGGGTAGCTCAGTTGGTAGAGCGCTTGCTCCGTGATCGTAAGGTCATGTGTTCAAATCACAGCTGCGACTGACTTAAGTCCATAAATAATAGGTAGCAACTGTTCCTTCTTCAAGCATTTGTCACTTTGAAGTGAAAGTTGCGGGTCCTTTGGATGAGACCTTAAAAACCAAGGCCCCATGTCACGGCAGGCATTGGCACGATAAAGGTCTCTCACTGCTCAATGACCCTGAGTGCCAAGTAAAGGTCTAAATTTGAAGCCCTTCACCAGTATATGGTAAAGTCACTATATGAGTGAAAAATTCTCAAATGGGACGTAAAACAACATAGAATTAATCCACAAAAAAAATTAACACAGGCTGTCTTGGTTTTTTTTTGTATTTTGTCTGCTTAACTGCACTTGAATTGAGTCATCCTAATTATTTAATTAGTATAAACAGTCAATTCTCTAGCTTGTCATTTTGTTGGACAAATTCCTTAAAATCCAATACTCCTGACCTTGGGAAGGAAAAATACTTGTTTTTATGAAGCGTTTGGTGACACTGGTTTTCAGTAAGTAAGACTTAAGTTTAAAGGCTATATTTTTTTTTTTCAAACAAATCTATAATTTATCAGACTTTTACTCACATATCCACAGGAAAGTGTCTGTGCAAAGGTGACTTGCCCTTACATGAAAAACACGAAAAATGGTATTTTTCAACCCCTGTGAAGGAACATTTTGGTAATTTTAATCAAACTTGCATCAAAGATCACTTAGAACTCATTTCTTTTAAATAAAGGTTTCTTTTTTTAAAATAGAAATTAAGAAATAGTGAAAAAGAGGCCAACATAAATGACTTAAATATTTATTATATCTATTAGCTCACTTCTACAAATGGGTATTTGCTTTACCCTAATCCTCTGCACCTCAGGTTAAAGTGTTTAAAGCAAGTCTATTTCACAAGTATTAATACACCCTGCATGGATACGCATGCTTGAATGATGCATTTAGAGGTTGCTCATTGCCTTTATCCTTCAGATGCTACTTCTGACTTTAAGTTTTGGAATGAGTGACCAGGTTAGAGGTTTGGAGCAGGTTCAGTACCAACAATATGTGTTTCTGAAACACACATGCCCCCCTAAGGCAGCTTATGGCAAAGGTTAAAGGTCAAACTCCAAGGTCAAGAGATAAAAAATGTTGTTACCCAAAGAAAGAAGGATTTGTGTCAGTGGATATTCCTGGTAAATATGAAAGCCCAAGCACCAACAATTCAAAAGTTAAGGTCAAGGTCAATATTTTCTAAAAGTGGGTCAAACTCCAAGGACAAGGTCAAAATTAATGGTACGCAGGGGAAGACCTTGTCATAAGAAATAAACATGCAAAATATAAAAGCCCTAGCACCAACTGTTTAAAAGTTATGGCGAAGGTTAATGTTTTTCAAAAGTAGGTTAAATTCCAAGGTCAAAGTCAAAATTGCTGGTTTCCAAAGGAAAGTCTTGTCACAAGGAATATCCCTGTGAAATTTGAAAGCCCTAGTACTAACTGTTCAAAAGTTATGACCAAGCTCAAAGTTTTTTTTAAAAGTGAGTCAAACTCTAAGGTCAAGGTCAAAAAGTAAAAAAAAATTGACATCCCTTGTAAGGTTTTGTCATGATGAATACATAATTATGTGAAATATGAAAGGCTAAGCCCTAGCACCAACTGTTCAAAAGTTATGTACAAGGTTAAACTTGGGTAAATTTTTGCAAAAGTGGGTCAAACTCCAAGGTCAAAAGGTCAAATATGTTGGTATCCAAAGAGAGGTCACAAGGAATACACTTGTGAAATATGAAAGCCATAGTTCCATAGTTCCTATGGTCAAGGTTAAAGTTTTTGTGGACAAACAAACAGACAGACGGACGAACAGGGCAAAAACTATATACTCCTGAATCTTTGATTACAGGGGCATAATAATTATAAGCCTTACCTGCACCAAACTTACATGGATGATGTATCTAGAAATGCATACCAGCTTGCTGCAGATGCTGCATGTGATCCTTATTTTCAACACAGATCGGGTTTTGGAGTAGGTCAATTCCTAAGTAGCTATAAACCATGTCAGGAGCAAACTTTCATGGATGATGCATCTAGGGATACATACTAAACACCTTGCTTAAGCATCTGACTGTGACATCTACTTCAGTGAAGAAATGAAAGGCCTATAATGATGAACTTAATGATACAGCATATAATCAAATTTAAGGTCACTTCTCTAAAAAATATGCAATGCATTTCTTGACAATATCTTGTACTGGAGAACATCAAGCACTCATCACAAATATTGCCTGTGACCTGAGGGTGTATATTCACCTTGACCCAGTGTCTTTCCAGGAAGTTCAAGGTCACTTGCAGGAAAAATTTATTATTCCTATAACTTTCAAATGGAATCTAATTGAAAGTTGATACTTGACACAAAGATTATTTATGACTTAAAAGAGTATCATGGTCCAACCCAAAGTCATTTTGATAAGTTCAAGGTCACGGGCAGAAAAAATGTCAAATTCTTGTCCTATCTGTAACTTTCTTATGGAAAAACATTGGAAGTTTGTATACAAATATTACTTATGTTTCATAGGTGTGTCATGACCTTGATCCAAGGTTATTGGGGTAAGTTCAGGGTCACTGGCAGATTAAGTATAAAATTTGTGTCCAGTTTATTATTCTCTAATAGATAAGTATTGGAGGTTGAAACTTCCAACAAAAATTATTCATGAGCTGAAGGTATGTTATAAACTTGACAGAAAATAATTGTGGCAAATTCAAGATCAATGGCAGAAAAGGTGTAAAATTCATGTCAGATCCATGATTTTCTGATGGAGAAACATTGGAGGTCCATAACTCACTCAAATATTTTTCATGACTAGAGGATGTGTCATTCTTTTTAACCATCATTTTGGCAAGTTCAAGGTCATGTTTCGAACATTGTATATGGGCACTTTAAAAAAAATGCTGGTGGGGTATAATTTTGTGAGCTTGCTCACAGTACCTCTAGTTGTAATTTGGTAGTCCAGGTTTCTTAAGATTCTGAAAGAATTCTATCCTAAAATATAAAGAAAGTTGTCGGAAAGGTTTGCGATCATGCCAAACAGTAAGACAAAAGACGTTGTATTGGTGTATTTATAGTTGCATAACTTAATTCAATCTACAAGATAATCTTTTATTGGTTATTTATCATAGTTAATATGTACATTCTACATGTATAAGGAAGTTAATATGATAAGGAATACCATTTTGATTTTTTTTGAAAATATTGCAATACAATATCGCAATACAGTAAAAATTATCACAAGATATTGCAATACAAAATCTCTACCAATACCCAGCCCTAGTGTGCTAGCAATTCAATCTTTTCCATAATTTCTATAACTGGATGAGTAAATTAAATGATTGGAATAATTAACATATCTGAAAATAATAGTTTAACCCTTGCCACATTAATTGAAATGCCTTTCTGCAATATGTCTAATAAAGCTTTACATTTACTTTAGGTTGATATATTTTCATTTGGGATGTTTATGTATGAGCTGTTGACCTGCAAGAAACCCTTAGAGGATATGACCAACCCTACACTATTTGTTTGTCAAAATGGACGCCCCTCTATAACAAGAAGGGTAACTTTACTGCTTTTTTAGCATTGTAGTAATAATTTTATAAAATATACATTTCAAAATTCAGCATAAGTGGATCTAAAATCATATTTTAAGAAGATCTTTTAATTCTTCTGGATTCATTGAGATAATTAAGACATATATTTGTGTGTGTGTGTGACTGATTAATGCAATCTTTGAAGGAGTTAAATTATCCGTCACATTTCCTGGATTTGATGTCTGTTTCTTGGTCACATGATCCAACAGAAAGACCATCTGCTGAACAAATCAAACAGATTGTACAGTGTCCACAGTTTTGTCACCTAGCCGATGCTATCTCCATGGATACCAGTGTCAACATTCTATCAGGATGTTGTGTAACAGTAGAAAGAGAAGCACAGAATGATGAAGATGAAGCTTATGGTAAATGTTCATTAGAATTCACTACTATGAAGATACGAAATATATTTTATTACCCCACCCAAAGAGAAGGGGGGGGGGGGGGCGGGTTAGACTGTTTTACCCTTATGTGTCTGTCCATAACAAATTTTCATTGCAGTTAATTTCTCAGCAACTACTCATGGCAGCTGCTTGAAATTTTAGCACAATACAATGTATTTGTCTAGGGATGCCATACGGTGGGATTCATTTTTGTACAAATCCAGTTTCAACTTCCTGTTTGTCCATGTGTCTATAACCAAATTTTCGTTGCAGTTTTCTCAGCAGTTACACATTGCAGATACTTGAAATTTTAGCACAATCTTCGTTTAGGCTTGCCATATTGTGGGATTCATGAGAGCATATATTCACATCAGAGTGGGGGTAAAACTAGTGAGCATTGGCTCACATACTTCTTGTTTGGTTTATATTTCTAAGGGTTCAGGAAGTCGAGAATAAAATTGGTGTTTGCATAAATTAAAATGGATATAAATTAATGAAAACATTGTTATTTTAGTGTGAAGTACTATTTAAAAAATGTGCATTAAATCTTTGATCATTCAATTAGGAAAAATAAGATTGTCTATCTATTAGACAAGAGGTCCAAGGGCCTTAACAATCACCTGTATAATGTAACAATCCATAGATCAAAACAAAATAAGCTGATAAATAAAGCTATGTTGCCCAAAAGCAAGAGAAATAGGATGATCAGGGATCAACAAAAATATTAATTTTAGTACTCAATAACAAATCTTAAAGATCTATTTATTTGCCTGTACTTTCCCCCATTTGTCACTATCCTTATGTGCACTAAACAAAACAATAATTCTAGAGCACTGTTAGCTAACACATTTCATTCCCCCTTGCATTGGCCTCTCTTAGTCTTTGAAGATTATTTATTGTACAATGATACTGTATTTTTGTCCCATTTTCATTTATCTATTATTTAAAAGTTTACCCAACCTTCAAAAACTATGAAAGTGCTTTTGTATTAAATATTATGAAATTTATTATATAATTCTGTTATTCAATTGATCTTTCAAGTTACATTATATACAGTGATAAACTATCTTCAAATGACCTTTTAAGGTCATACGCAACGTACATTTATTTACCTGTTGGTAATTTTTCAAGATATTCTTTCATTAAAATGAAGGTACCTTCAGATGTTCTTAGACAAAAAAATCTGAATATATTACCAGGAATTTCAAAATCTGGTAAAAACATCCTTGCTAACTTTATATATTCTATATGCCACCTAGATGCCCTGGAGCAGAGAATAAGATTTTCCAAAAAATAATCCATTTCACTATAGATTCAATATAGCTCCACCCAATACCAGAGCCCCTTACCCAGGGGCTAAGATATTCTTAATTTTGGTAGAGGCACTCTTGCTCATCATAACCATGCACTTAGTATGTTTCCTTAATAACAATGGGCAGTGAAGAAGATTTTCAAAGAAATAATGCATTTCTTCTATATTCAAAAGAGCCTCACCCTAACAACTTTTTGAAAGCATTTACTTGCTTCTTATAACCATGCAATTTGTTTTTCTGTTAAATACCCAGGGGAAGAGAAGAAATTTTTAAAAAAACAATGCATTTCCACTACATTAAAAAGACCCCCCCCCAACATGAACCCCTAATCCTGGGGCCACAAATTTCACAATTTTGGAGGAGGCATCCTTGATCATACAATTATACACTTAGTTTATCTGCTAAATACCCAGGAGAAGAGAAGGTGTTTAAAAAATTAATGCATTTTCACTATATGATCAATAGATCCCTGCCCTAAAACCTGAGAACCCATGGGCCAAGACATTCACAATTTTGGAAAAGGCACCCTTGCTCATCAAACTATGTATTTGGTTTATCTGCTAGAGAGGAAAATTTTCATAGAAATAATACACTTTTGCTATATAATCAATAGAGACCCCCTCCCTTTCCTGCAGAATCCCTCACCCTGAGGCCGCAAATTTCACAATTTTGGAAGAGGCACCCTTGGTCATTATAACCATGCATAGTTATCTGCTTTATATACAGGGGAGAGAAGATTTTTAAAGAATTTATATATTTTCACTTTATGATCAGTAGGGCCAAACCTAACACCTGATACCCTGATCCTGCAGCCATGAATTTCACAATTTTTTTATAGAGGGCTCAATGCTTATTACAATCATGACAACAATTTGACTACTTGATGTCCAGGAATAAAGAAGAAAATTTTTAAAGATTGCACTCATTTTGATGTTGTGGTCCCACCCCTAAGGCCCAAAAGTGGGGGGGGGGGGGGGGGGGCAGGGACCATGCAATTCACAAATTTTGTTCCCTTTTACCCATAGATGTTCTATGCCAAAATAAGTTGAAATTGGTTCAGGGGTTGCAGAGTAGAAGCTGAAAATGTTCAAATAATAACGCACGACACACAACGCACAACGACGGACAAAAACAGATAGCAATAGGTCACCTGAGTAACTTGGGTGACTTATTAAAATCTGTTCATTTTGCCATCACCTCAGTTAGGGATATAAAAAAATTATAAAGGTTATCATTGCTGAAGTGTGATTTTCACTTAGGTGTCATTTGATGTAGTGCCTAGATGGTTTAGGGGGTTTGGAAGACATATTAACCAAATCGTGGATAAAACTTGGCAGATTTACAAGTGTCTGGATCAAAAGATTACTGGTAATTGTACAAATTTATTTTAGATGATGATGACATTTTGCCAAACAATGCCATGAAAGAGATTTGGTTGAGCACAGCACCAACCAACAATAACTCAAGAATAGAAATATACAGCTTTGATAGATATTTCAGATCAACAGTAAATAAGGTATCTACAGTTAAAGTTTTTGTATACTCTTTGCAAACAAAGTTATGGGGTATATAGGAATCACCTTGTCCGTCAGCCTGTCTGTCCATGCAATTTGTCTGGGCTATAACTTTGTAATGAAGAATCATTGGAAGCTCATGCTTGTGTAAAGATTGTTTACGACTTGAGGATATGTCATGACCTTGTCCCAAGGTCATTCCAGCAAGTTCAATGTGATTTGCAGAAAAAGTTTAAAATTTGTGTCTGGTCTGCAACTCCCTAATTGAGAAACTGTGAAAGTTCAGACTTCATACAAAAATTGCTTATGACCTGAAAGTGTGTTATGACCTTGTCCCAAGGTCATTTGATTAAATTCAAGGTCACTTTTCGAAAAATGTGTAATTCTTGTCTTGGCCATATCTTGTAATGGAGAATAATAGAGACTCATACTTATCACAAATATTGCATATAATGTAAGAGTATGTACATGTATTGACCATTACCCAAGTTAATTCCAGAAAATTCAAGGTCAATGATAAAAATCTTTTTTATTTGTATCCTGTCTCTAACTCTAAAATTTGGGGGGGGGGGGGGGGGGGGGGGGTTGGGGGGGGGGGGGGTTGTATTATTTTGTGAGCTCACTCACAGTACCTCTAGTTAAAACTATCAAACTCACAATAAATATTGATTTTCACTAATTATCATGAATGAATATGTGCATTAAAGTAATGTCTAACAGTCAAGCCTTGTTTGTCCAGGCTTTTTTTTGTTCCTAAGCAAATCATTAGAATTTATGAAGCATCCAGATTACTGAAACATACACACATTTTGCCCAGATGACTTGAACATACTAGTGTCACTGTGATGTAACATTGTGCCTTGTTATATAAAATAGGCCGTCTCTTTTGTGTGGTAGGTATTATTAGTTTTACAAAGCAAAACAACAAATAAACAAAATGTGCACCTGAAGAAGAAAACTATATTAAATTGATCTAGTGATGTATTTATATGTTTAAAAATTTGAAGTTGTTTTGCACTTAAAAACATATTCTTTTGAAAAAATATTGTGTTTTTATTTTAGAAATGTATGTCAATCATCAGTCTAGAATTTGTTTTTTCAGGATCACAGGGGTTTTAGCTCACCTGAGGTGAAGGCTCAAATGAGGTTTTCTGATCAGTTTGTCATTGTCTGTATATAGTCATTGTTGTTGTAAATTGTCATTAACTTTTTTTACAATTTCATCTTCTCCAGAACAAAAGGGCCAATTGTAATCAAACTTGGCACAGAGTATCCTTGGATGAAGGGGATTCAAGTATTTTTAAAATGTTGGGTCACACCCTCTTCCAATGGGAGATAATTAAGAAAAAGTATAAATTGGGTGGGGTTCATTGAAAAATCTTCTTCTCAAGAACTATTAGGCCAGAAAAGAAGAACTAATATGAAAGCTTCCTGACATTGTGTAGATTCAAGTTTGTTCAAATTATAACCCTTAGACATAGCGTGGGGCGCCACTATGGGCAGTCAAAGTTTGGGTATATATAGAAAAAAAATCTTTAAAAATCTACCTCTTGAAAGCCATGATCAGTCATATTTATATGGAAGCATCCTGAGGTAGTGTAGATTCAAAGAGCTTGGTTCACTAACTCCATAATTTGGCCCTGTCGATATACCAATGAACTGACCATGTCCCATTGTCCCATTTCAAGCATCAATATAAAGTAGAGACTAAGTGCTTTCATTTCCTATAAGTTTCCTCTCAGAGTACAGGTATTGAAAAAGTGGCTTTGTGAAATTGTAATGTTCTTGATTTTTGATGAAAATGGGTGTATTTGAGCACCTTCAGCAAAGGATTGAAATATGAGCCCACCCTGCAATCCAAAAAATAAAACATGGAGTATATCTTCTGAAACAGTACTTTCATTGTGTAATTCATCATTTTAGATCAGAGGTTGGGGTCTAATTGCAAAATGTTGAAAAACAGATTAAATTTTTGGCCATTTTTGAAGAATTTTTCAGGATTTAGGGATTAATGATGCAATTCATGATCTCATAATGCATGAACTAGCGAGAAAATTACATCAGTTTTAATAGATATGCAGTCAGCAAGGATCCAAGTACAATTTAATGTATTTTCAACTAAAGCTGACCATTTTTTATGTTTCAGAAATTCACAGAGCCAAAAAAGGCCCTAAGTGAACCTTGTTCTTTGTTCAAATCATGACCCCAGGGGGTAGGCTACAATGGGGAATCAAAGTTTTACATAGGAATGCATTGGAAAAATCTTTAAAAATCTTCTTCTCAAGAACATCAAAGCCATTATCCAGGTAGTGCAGATTCAAGTTCATTCAAATTATGATCCCCAGGGGAAGGACGGGACCTAAATGGGCAATCAAAGTTTTACATAGTTATACGAGGGGTTATCAAAAAGTTCGTGGACTGATGCGATAAAATTAATACTATGTAGTCTATGCTTACAAAATTTATAAGGAACATAAACCAAGAAAATTTTATGAAATGTTGAAAATTTTAGCTTGATACGTTGATTATTTGCCAAATTATTCTAAAATAAAAAGGACATTATATGATCACCCGGCGCTGTCGCCGTTTAGTTTCATGACGTCCGACAAACGTCATTGTTTCTCAATGTACGCTATTTCTACATCATACACTTATCTTGATGAGATTACCTGGAGTTAAGTAAGGACTTAAGCCCGTCTTGTTTATATGACTTTACAATGTCATGAACAGCTGCTTTCAATGCATATGATATTGTAAATGGATCTGTACATAGGGAAAGATCCTCACTTGATTATGTCAGAATACTGAGATTGTTGGAGTTCAATTTCTACCACACATGATCAACGTCACTTTTCGACGTGACTGACTTTGACACCCTGACTACAAATGGACACTAACTGTGCATCTTTCATTTCTCTGAATCATTTCAGGCATTTAAAACCAAGTACTCTCGATGCATTTTATTTTTCTATAGCCCGTTTAAACATTCCTTAGGTCTATACCAGTTTTTCCAGGAGTGAAACTTTATAGAATGTTGGAAAAAGAAACCCCTCCCCCTTTTTAACGTCATTTTCAAGTCCATAATTGTCTGGACACTCCATATAAAATTTACGATAAAATTTCATAGAACTTACAGAATGGGGTAAAAATTGCAAATTTTACGGAACAATTGTATCGTACCACATGCCTGAATTAACAATATATTTTGATGACAAATGCTCATATCTAAAAAGTTTTTCTCAGTTACACTCAGGTAGAAAAAAGCGTCATATTTGAGGTTGCGCCGCCTGGACATACCATTGCTTACAAAAACATTAACAATTTATTAAAAAATAAAACTGATGATTTATGGTTTATTTTATAGGTAGAAAAGATGATGCTGATTAAATGTGTAAAAATTAATTCATTGATGTACCTAAAGCGGTTTTAATTTTATGGCGCTAGTCCACGAACTTTTTGATAACCCCTCGTATATAGGAAAAATCTCCAAAAACTATCTTCCTGAGAACAGCAAAACCATGATCAGTCATATTATTATGGAATCACACACAGGTAGTATACATTCAAGTTTGTTCAAATCAAGACTACTGGGGGTAGGGTGGGGCCAAAATGAGCAATCATAGTTTTACATAGGAAAAAATACAAAAAACAAACAAAATGTAGGAAAAATCTTTTTTCTCAAGAATAGCAAAGCCATGTTCATACATATTTACATGGATTCATACACAGAAAGTGAACATTCAAGTTTGTTCAAATCATGGGTAGGGTTGGGTCACAAGTCTTACATAAGAATATGTAGAAAATTCTTTAAAAATCCTCTTTTCAAGAACAGGAAAGCCATGATTAGGCAGTTATCCTTCTTCAGACAAATTCGTAGATTACTGATTGGATAAAAGCTAATCATGCACATTCAAAATTTTTCTGTATTACGTCTCTGTCCAAGGGTAATATTAAAATCAGGCACACGATTCCATTTGAAGCATCGTTATTGTAAATAAAAATGGTGGCTAAGAAACGGTTTATTACTTGTTATGATATTTTATGTCGATTTTTATTGGATTAAACCTTGATAATATACTCATAAAACTATATATTTTGATACTATGCTGATTTTTTTAAAAAAAGATCTTCAGCAGGAAAGGTTTCGCCTCGCGCAATACAGATTTCCATTTCACACCATGTATGACTCCATATTAGGTCCCTAACTGACTGTGTAACTAATATTATATGGAGCATCCTTAGTTTAGGTTCAAGTTTGTTTAAATTATGACCCCAGGGGTAAAATGGGGCTTCACAAGGTGATCTAAGTTTTACATAGGAATATACAGGAAAAAGAATCTGCTGATAAAAAACAGGAATGACCATAGCTAATCAAGTGAACATTGTGGCCAATGGTGAGCTTTTCTGATCAAAATTTGTCCTTGTCTGCCGTTGTTGTTGTTGTCATCATCATTATAAACTTGTCAGATTGTCAGTGCCTGATTGAAGATTGAAGAACAAATTTTTTTTTGATTTCATGATATGTGTGCTCTATTTTTGACTATGATCTATTATGATTATGTTTGTAAAAAAAATTAATGCAATAAATTATAGACAGATAAGATTGATATTTCTAATCTTATAATAAAAGTAACAATAAAATACAGTAACATACATGTGTGTCATGACCCAAGATTGTTACAATTAAGTTAGAGTTCTTCAAGAAAAGCAATGTTGGCTAGTAACCAGGTACTTTATAAAAAAAAAATAAGAGGTTTTCTGGTTTTGAAAAATCTTCTGATTTGACAAACTGTAGAAGATGTTTCATGGTATTTTTGACATTTGCAGACTATCCCTCTAAAAGGTGGTGAATTTTATGGATTGATAGCGGTGGATGGCAATGTTTTTTGTGTGGACCCATATTGTGTAGTTCACATCTACAGGTAATAAAGAATCTTGATTATAGGTTGTTACCTTAGCAGTTATTTACATCAAAGCTTAAACACTGCAAAGGAAACGAAAGTTTCATTGTCAGACATCTACAAGCTTGTGTATCAAATGTTTCGCCTGATCTATTAGTGACAGTCAAAGACTAGAATAACTTGTGCAATGGTAAGGCATCTGTCTATCTGAGTTTAACTCAATTTTTCAAAATGCTAATCCTCCAAAACTTCAGTGTTGCAATGATTATTTAATTTAAAAATTTATTTTAATTGTAAGAAATATAAACCCTTTTCCACATACAGGTTTGGTTTGTTAATTAGCACTTAATTGGTACACAAGTAGACTACAGTAAGATACTAAAGTTTGTTCATCTTTTTTCTTTTGAAGAATAGTGTTGCCAGAATTACTAAGAATAAATTCATAAAATTCTTTCAAAATGCTGGTTTTCTTGCAGTTTTAGTCCAGTTTCAAAATACCTGGGTATGCAAGTAGACTGAGTACAACTGTTCATGATTTTTTTTATAAACAGTTTTATGCTCACCTGAGCCAAAGGTTCAAGAGAGCTTTTGTGATCAAAATTTGCCCATTGTCTGTCATCATCATTGTCATTAACTTCTTGTTCTCCAGAACCAATGGGTCAATTTCAACCAAACTTCCCAAGATTAGTCATATAACTTGGTACTCAAGTAGACTACACCTAGATACTTAAATATTTTAATCTAAAAAGAAATGTGAAATTCTTTTAAAGTGTTCTTTTCTTAATTTTGGTTTCATTTCAACAAAGTTTGACAAGTTTAGAACAAATCAAAATTTATTATTCTTTGTCAAACTTTAGAAAAAAAAAATGCTAGTCCAAATGCAACTTTATATTCTACTAGCTTTTGTAAGAATAAATTAGTAGAGCTACAGTCTCATCAGAGACTTCTGGTTCTTTGATATTACAAAACATACTCTTTTCATATGACAATTTACTTCATTACGGGTGTTGATTAATTTAGACAGGAGTACTAAAATCTTATACACTTTATCATTTTATTCCAACAATTTTACATGAGCATGTACTTAGACATTACGAAAAATACTGAACTTTCATGATTTCTTTGTTATTTTAGTGTGAGGAGAGATGTAAACCATCACTTTAATTTAGGGCTACAGGTTTCCCTTGTTTCTAGTTTAAGGCTTACTTGTTATATCCCCCAAAAACAAAGTTTAGAGGGGTATATTGGAATCAGCATGTCCATCTGTCTGTAGACATGATGTGTCCAGACCTGTTCTTGGAGATTATTGCATGGATTTGTCTGAAAATTTGTACTTGCATTATTCACCATATAAAAATGGCACCAGGTATTTTCATCATGATTGGACAATTTTTCTTCATTTTACAGATTTTTTTTCTTCGTTTTTTTGACTTAGTCATTTTGTGTCATGTAGATTTGAGACATAGAATCAAGAAACCACCAGTTGGAATATCAGTAGAAGAATGTGAATTGTAGCTTAAAACCAGGTCATTCAAACTATAAAAAATTAACAAGTATTAAAAAAATGTTTTATGGTAGATAGTCCCTACAAACCTAAGAGTTTTGTAGTAACATTATAAAAATAATATTGCTTCAAGATGACATTTTTTCCCATTATATAAAGCTCTATAACAGATTTGAAAAAAAAAGTCTTTGCTTTTAACAGCAATGACATAAATATGCATTTATATTGTACTACAAAAATGCAGACTGATAATGCATCACACAGCACATTTGTGTCTTTGGAGTAATGGATGGACATGCATCCAGTTAAAGATTATTGAATCAGAGTTCAATGTGGGAAGGCTGTCTTAACTGTTTCTGTTAGAGCATTTCTGATCAAGCAGGTGTTATCTATATCTCCTGGGATTTGGGCAGAAGAATTAAATATCAAGTTTCTTAACTCTCTTGATTGCAATTGATAGTCTGTCAAATTAAAATAGTTACTGGATGGTCAGCCTTTTATTTTCAAAATTAATTTGGTATAAAGTTGACAGGACTTAAATTTCATAATGTAAAATATATTTTCATTTTACATTATCTTATAACTCAACAAACAAATCAATTGTAGAGTGTCATGTCCCTCAATGATGACAGATAGTTGCAATTAACTTTTTCAGTCTAATAAATACAGTATTATTATTAGTAATTTGATATTTTATTAGGCTGCTGCTTCATTTATCATTCATAAAAAAAATACACTGAGCAATTAAATTTTCACTCTCAATGTTTAAATAAATTGTGAACAACTCTTACATCCATTAAATACTTTTAATGACTTTCTACCTTTTCTGAAAGTCCCAGTGGGGGGTATTTGTCCATTTTGGACAGTTCTAGTTGCAGTTACATAAGCACTTGTAACAAGTTTAAATTAGAAACTGGAGAGAAGTTGATCCTTTGAAATATTGCTTTAAATCAACTCCTACTTGCATCCCAGTATCAAATGAAATGTTTTAAATACATGTAATGCCTGTCATCAGAAAGAAGAAACATAGGTATTTGTAAACAGTTCTTCTTTTTCAGTGCAACCCCAACCAAGAAGATCAGGCTTATCGACCCTGATATAGGTCTCAAGGTGCGATACCTCACAAGTTATGTACTGGAAGGTGAAGGAAGTAAGAAAGTAAGCTTTGTGTTAGCATCTGTTAGAGGTGGTGTTCTAGTTATACTCGAGGTGGACCTAAAAAATTTTGAAATAAGCAGAAGAAAGGAAAATGTGTCTGGGAAGTGTATCTGTGGCTGCCTGGTGCCCAGAGATGAAAGGTGAGAACCAGGAAACAGGAATTAAAAATATAGAAAATTTTATGTGGAATGTACTCAAGTACACTGTAGTCTGTTTTAATGTCCTGGATACAAACGTAGACACATCAAATTATCCTGCAGAAAAAAATATCAATGACAGTCAATCTGAACTTCACATCGAATTATCCTTAAATATGAATTAATACCTTCTTCATACCCAGCAGTTTGAAACAACTCTTTCAAATTTTGTAGAAGACTAGAATTTTGGTGTGGACAAACAGAGGGCAGAATCCTAGTGCTTGATTATTATGATATGAAGAAAGATGGAGAAATTTTGGAACATTTTAAAATTATCAATATCAATAGAAATTGTCATTTTTTGGAATCAGCTGCTGTTGAAGAGAAACAATTTGTTTGGACATACAACTATCCAGGTAAGTTAGATTTTTTTGTTTTAAGTCGGAGAATTTCTATTTTTATAAAGGGATATTTCCAGCTTACCTTTCCTAATGGCTATATTAGCAATTTTGCATCCAGTGTCCATCTGTCTTTCTGGGCTTCTGTATATCAGTATACTTTTCCTATTTACAGTATCTTCTCCAACACCAAAAAGACCAATTACTATCAAATTAGGCTCAAAGGATTTCAAATTTATTCAATTTAAGACTTGTGTTCCCCAAGATATCTTACATCATAAAAATAAAAATTAATAAATATATAATTAATTTAATCTACTCCATATTTCATTAAGTATATCTTGAAAAACAGATACACCAAAATGTACTATTTACCTAGAAGGGTAAGCCTTACTAAGCCCTATCCCAACATTTGATCATATTGGTTCAAAATTATGTTGTTCCAAACAGAATTTTGAAGTATCATTTGTGTCTATAAATGTTTACTAGGCACTACTGTTTATCGGTGGGATGTTGAGACCAGAAAAGTGGAAGCAGAGCTGAATTGTGCTGATGTTGTTCCTATAACAGAGAGTGGGTTATTCCATGCCTACTACACCAACAACCATGAAGGTATGAAACTTTTAACTTATTCAGTATATCTCTCATTTATTGAAATTATTGTAACATTATGTAGATAAGACATTGTGTTGTGACAATTGACTTTTGGTGAAAAAAAGTTTATTTGGTAAAGTATTCAGTGTTCCAATAGTGGTTGGGTTTCCATACCTTCCTAGGTGTCTCATTACTCCCCACATTTATAGTCACCCCTTTTATGACAATCATCTCAAATTTTCACTCCTTAATACCTAGATCAATTCACTTTGTTTAGGAAGTCATGTATAGTTTAAGTAAGAATCATTTACACAGTGCTGTTACATCCACATCAGAAATGCAGTGGCATGAGGTGCTATTCATCATTACAGACAACAGGATATACTCTATTATCTGGCCCATGTATTCAGATTTGGGACCATAGGCAGTCCTCACATCTCTATTAAGGTCACATGAGTTACTAAAGTGACCTATTGTTATCCTTTTCTTCTGTCATTGTTAAAGGTGCTTAAAATTCTCACACTTATAAGTTCTCCAGAACCACATGGGCAAAATTTCAGGCAAATTTCCCCCAAACCATCTTTTGGTGATGGGAATTCCAGTTCAAGGAAAGAGTCAGGCCCCTTTTTAAAGGGACATAATTAAGAAATAGTGAAAATGTTGTGGACTCATTTAAAAGTTTTCTTTGATAAAAATTTTTAAGGCACATGAGTGAAATGACTTGAAGTCACCATGTTGTTACAATGAATTTTTGAATGATCATGTTTTGCAATTTTCTTTTCAGCACGAAGATGTCAGGTGACAGCCATGAAAGTGTCTGGCAAATACCTGTACATTGGCACCACATCTGGTTGTGTTATTGTAGCAGATGCAGTGGAGCTGAAGCCTTTCACAGTGTTCTATTGTCACAACAATGAAGACTTTTACATCAGAGCCATCATCCCTTTGCAAGAAAACAGTCCCTCTGATCCTCCACACTTGAAACCGTTCAGACCTCATGGCATTGTGACCGTAGGTAAAGGTTACCAAGATTTGATTCTAAAGACAGAAACGGAGACTGATCCAAGTTTTATACAAACCATTGCTAACAGACCATCTGGTTTTCCAAGAAAGTCCACAAAAAGTCCTACATACATTATTTCCTGGTATGCGAAAAACTGGGAATTTTATTAACAATCATGACGCAAAAACACTAAGAAAAGATTGATGTATGCACTACATATAGCTTTCTAGTCACTTATTTGCCATTGAAGCACCTTTATGTTAGTATATATTAATTTAGTCACATTCTGCTTGGCAAGTTCACAATGGAAAATAGAAACCCAATAATTTATCAAACGATGTAAATGAATGTTGAAGTGGTACAGTGCAATATGTTTGTTTTATTTGTTTTGTTAATGACAATCTTTAACAGTTTTATTTGTTATAGAAAAATGTTACACCATAAATAAATGACTCTTCTTAAACTTGTGTATGGGCTTGAAGGGATATATGTACAGCATCAGGAGCAAAGTGACATAATATCAAACATATTTTGCAGTAGGTATTTATCCTTTGGAGTGACATCATGTGCATGAGATTCAGTGTGCCACTGACAAATAAAATGTGTAATAAAGAAACACAGCACAATGAAAAGATCAAGATATTGTAAAGATAGAAAATATACAATACCAGAAGTTATTGTGACATTACATTTACTAGATACAGAAAACTCTAGTGTTACTGTACACAAGATCGGGGGTCAGATGTAGGTAATTAATACACAGGTACCTGATTCCTAGTGGATTTCACAAGGGCAGAGTGTTAATTCATTTAGTAATAGATCTAGACATTTTCTGCTAGTTTTTCAGGATTTAACTAGAATGTTTTAAAACAATGAATATATTTTAATAAGTATATTAATATAGACTTATGCATGACATTCAGGGTTAAGGTATCTCTACCCTCATGCTTTTATAGTTTTAAGTAGGAAAACAGTATCAATTTCCCATTAAAGTAGTTTAATGTTATTAATAATCACAAAAAAAATTATGGATTGCCACCTTTTTAGCTCACCTGAGCTGAAAGCTCAAGTGAGCTTTTCTGATCACATTTTGTCTGTAGTCCGTCCGTCTGTCTGTAAACTTTTCACATTTTCGACTTCTTCTCCAGAACCACAGGGCCAATTTCAACCAAACTTGCCACAAAGCATCCTTGGGTGAAGGGGGTTCAAGTTTGTTCAAATGAAGGGCCACGCCCTCTTCCAAGGGGAGATAATTAAGAATTGGTGAAAATTTGGTGTCTTCTTTTAAGGAGGTTCGATCCTGAGCTTTTGAGCAGATTTTGGTCTGGACCTTTATTTATAAAATTCTGCATCATTTTTAAGTTCAAACATTAAATCTGAATTCTACAATGCAAATTAAACAATATCCAATGAAAAAACTGCGATTAAATTCCATTCAAAGAGGATTAAGCCAGGAACTATATTTTGTGGCGAAAGGATTTTTAGGAGAAAATGATCATTTTGTCCCATTTTGAAATATATACAGTACTGTTAAGTTTAGATTCTTATTTTTCCATGCTGGTTGCACACAGAGCTGTTTTTTGCAATGAAATGTTTTATGCTGGGTCTGAAATATCTATTAAATTATTAGTCCCCTACCGGTGAAACCGGAGGGTACTATAGGTTTCCTCTGAGTCTGTCCGTCTGTCTGTCCGTCTGTCTGTCTGTCTGTCCCTCTGTCTGTCTGTCAGTCTGTCCCACTTGGTTTTCCGCACTTTTTTCCTAAACGCTTGCAGATATTGAGCTGATTTTTGGTATGTGAGTGTATCTTGATGAGTTACAGGTCAAGTTTGCGTTTCGTTCCGCTTCATTGATTTTTGAAGGAACGGCCTTTTCAATTTTTAGGGGTTTTCCGCAATTTTCTTCTAAACGCTTGTAGATATTGAGCTGATTTTTGGTATGTGGCTTTATCTTGATTAGTTATAAATCAAGTTTGCTTTTCGTCCCGCTTCATTAATTTTTGACGGAAGTATGGCATTTTCAATTCTTAACAGGAACGGAACCAGATTACACTTGCCGGTAGGGGACTAGTATTGCTAATGCAATACTCCCAGAATGCTTGTTTCTTATGAATTCTTTCATTATATTGTGACAAATATAGTAATATATATTCTGAAAGTCCAGGAAAAAATTTAGCCAATTTTAACACAAAATTAACACTTTTTTAGTAAATTCTAAAAATTTACATCATAGACCCCCACTTTTGTTTCTCTTTTCTGAAAATATAAGATAACTTTGATCAATCTGCCTAAATTCAGAAAAAGTTTAAGACTTTAAAATAATTTTCTTGCTTGTTAAATTTTTAATACCAGAAAAATCACATTTTTTGAGTGCAGAAAGGTCAAATGATTATGTGAAGCAATTTGAAACTTTTTCTTAGTCACAATTTTGAAGTATCTTTACTTAAATAGACTAATAGTTTAATTTGTCTCATGAATTATTTGGATAAAAACATTGGAGGGAAAACGTCGAAGATGTGATTTTTGATTCAGACACAAATTTCAGTGCAAAAAGGTCATATTAAGGTATGTCACTTGTGAAATTTGTTATATCAAGGATTTTTTGAGAAGTATATTTTGGATAAGTACTCATATAGTATGACTCAAAATCGCAGAGAAAATGGGGGGTCAGTGTGCATCTAACTGAGCTACGGTACAATTAAGTTGACCTTTTTGCACTTAAATTGTAACTCTTTGGTTAATCACTTTAACCGTTATCATATTTTATCAGATGTAACCATGACAATAAACATAATCTTATTTTACGTAAAACAGTTTGAATAATATTTGTCATTGAACAAATCATGCAAATTAATGCGCGTAAATTATTGTGTGACCTTTTTGCACTAAAAAAGTCTCATATTTGGGGTATTAAAAATCTAAATAGGCAATTGAATATTTTCTTGTATCAAACTTTTTACGACTTAAGTGCTGATTGGTCAAAAGTATCGAGAAGTTTAAAATAATGAAAGAAAAAGTTGGGGTCAGTGATGTAAATTTTTAAATATTGGTCAAAATATGCGATTTTCTGGCAAAAAACTGTGTAAATTTTATCTCGATTTCCTTAATATATATTCATTTCTTGGCAAAGTTTGTTGAGCGAAGATGTAAATTTTGTTATAAAAATATAAATTGAGACCTATATTTAATATTCTAGGCATATCATAACAGAAAATATTCTCTGAGTAAAAGTATGTGAGGCTAAAGTTCCAAGACATTAAATTTAATAAATGTGTAGATTTGCAGAATTTTCTGCTAAATATCCTTCCACCACAAGAAATAGTCCCTTATAAATCTTGCTTCTTTATGAATTTTTGAGCAGTTTTTTAATTGAATGTTGAACATTTTACATTGTTTAATTTAAATATGTTATGAAGATTTAATTGTAATTAATAGTTTTTAAGTAAGAGGTTCTGACTGAAATTTTCTAAAAGGCTGACGAGTGACATACCTTAAATGTACTGTAGCGCCAAAAGAAGCATATTGACCCCCATTTTTTGTTTTGATTGTTAATTAAGCTATGTGTGTAGAAACTAAAATTATACTTGACAAAAAAAGTTTAAGACTTTAAATATCAGGATCCAACCTCATTAAAAATCTTCTCAAGAACCATTGGGCCAGAAAATTTGAAACTTACGGGAAACCTTCATTACATCATGACCTCCAGGGGTAGGGTGGGGCCACAATGAGGGATCAAAGTTTTACATAGGAATATATAGGAAAATTCTTTAAAAATCTTCTTCTCAAGAACAACAAAGCCACAATTAGTCATATTGATATGGAATCATCCTCAGGTAGACAGTGTAGATTCAAGTTTGTTCAAATCATGACCCCCTGGGGTAGAGCGGGGCCACAATGGGGGATCAAAGTTTTACATAGGAATATATTGTAAAATTCTTTAAAAATCTTCTTCTTAAGAACAACAAAACCACAATTAGTCATATTGATATGGAATCATCCTCAGGTAGTGTAGAATCAAGTTTGTTCAAATCATGACCCCCGGGGTAGGGTGGGGCCACAATGAGGGATCAAAGTTTTACATAGGAATATATATAGGAAAAATCTTTAAAAATCTTTTCAAGAACTGGGAAGTCATGATTAGTCATATTGATATTGAAGCATCCCCAAGTATTGTAGATTCAAGTTTGTTCAAGACATCCTCTAGTAGTAGGGTGGGGCCATAATGGGGGATCAAAGTTTAACAAAAGAATATAAGAAATATCTTTAAAAATCTTCTTTCAAGAACAACAAAGCCATAATTAGTCATATTGATATGGAAGCATCCTCAGGTAGTGTAGATATGGAAGCATCCTCAGGTAGCATAGATTCAAGTTTTTTCAAATCCTGACACCCCCCCCCCCCTACCCTCAGGGTAGGATGGCAGAAATCTTTAAAATTCTGTTTTCAAGAACAGCAAACCCATGATTAGTTATATGAATATAGAAGCATCCTCAGAAAGTTTTGATTCAATATCCTTCAAAACATGGCACCTGGGGATAGGGTATGCCTAGAACAGGCAATCAAAGCTTTACATATGAATATATAGAAGAAGAAATCTGCTGACAAAGAACAGCAGGGCCATATTGACACAGGTGAGCGTTGTGGCCCATGGGCCTCTTGTTTTAGGATGTCAGACATAAATAAACAGAAATCTCTGTCAACATCACGAAATTGAAAAAAGTTAATAAATAAATAATAACATGAAATTGTTTTAGTGTATTATATAAACTGTTTTTTATTGAACTATTAAATAGCATTCTGGTACAAATCATTTACTACTTTCATTAAAGAAGTTTATTTAATGAAAGTTTTTGCAAAAACCGTGTGATGTCACATGAGGGTGGAAACATTTTAAAGTAGTATATTTTAAAATAATGAATACATTTAAATAAGTATATTAATATTGGCCTTTGCTTGAGTAACATTACTTAATGACCTGGACATTAAAACCCCATGTAATGAACTTTTTAGCTCTCCTGATCTGAAAGCTCAAGTGAGCTTTTCTGATCACATTTTGTCTGTAGTCTGTCTGTCTGTCCATCCATCCATCCATCCATCCATCTGTAAACTTTTCACATTTTCATCCTCTTCTCAGAACCACTGAGCCAATTTCAACCAAACTTGCCACAAAGCTTCCTTGGGTAAAGGGAATTCAAGTTTGTTCAAATGAAAGGCTACACCCTCATTAAAGAGTAGATAATTTAGAAGTAGTGAAAATATTGTGGCATTATTTAAAATTCTTCTTCTCAAGAACCACTGGGCCAAAAAATTGAAACCTATAAGAAACTTTCTTTACATAGTGTAGATTCAAATTTGTTCAAATGATGACCCCTGGAGGTAGGGTGGGGCCACAATGGACAATCAAAGTTTTACATAGGAATATATAGGAAAAAACTTTAAAAATGTTCTTCTCAAGAACAGCAAAGCCA